AGAATTAAAGCGGTACATCTGAGGCCCTAGTGTAACGGTCCAGGAAGAACACATCATAGAGATGGTCGTGGCCGTTTGCACTAAGCTACTTCAAACAAGCACAATTCAAGCAATTCCAAGACCAGCTGCGGTGCCTTCCCCCCCCCCCTGCAGTGAGCCGTGGTAACACAGATGAGCCGCTGACACATTACAGTAACAGAAGAAACAGTTCAGGAGCTTCACTAATGACCTTGTAATAGCCATAATCAATAAAGCCTAACTATGATCATGCTCACCATGCAAGTATACAGCGTAATTCAGACCATGGTCCCAACAGTGCCCTCTGTAAACGGGTACTTTAAGACCTTTCTATATCCTAGGTAGTTTTTTTAGAACTCTGCTAAGTGGGGTTTTTCTTTATAGTCGAAGGGATGAGGTGCATTGCTCTGTCTTTTATGTTCCCTTAGCATGGCAGTAAATGATTACACGAGCACAGATGAAGGAAGGGTGAAGGGTGTCCTGTGGACCAGTCCGAAGAATATGTAAAAAATGCTCAGGCCCTGCTTGCTGTTTTTTGGCAGCAGCTAGAAGGAGCCTGGGGAAGAAATGTATCCTTCATCTGGAGCAAAGTACCGTGTGTCAGTAGTGGCAATAATCTCTGCAAAAAAGGTGTTAAAATGCTTCATTCTGGGTCTGTATAAAGGTATAAGTTGATGAAATATTAGATCTAGGGAGTCTAAATTCCTTGGTGTGGAATTAAATCTACAATAGCCTTAGCTGCATCCACACAGCAGTCAGACTTGGAGTTAAACTTTGTTGTACAAGGTGATTATAACTACAAAAAAAAAAAATTACTTGGTAACAATCTCCAAAATCTGAAAATATTAGGAAAAAGGTTTATTCCAAATTATATATCTATTCCATTACCCTGGAGCAAGAGTTGTATTTTTCTAGAATGTTTAAAAAGTTCTATTGGAAATAGGCCTGTGGGGAATAATTATCTGGGGGGCAAATTATGGATACATAATCACGAGATGCTGATCACTGTTGGGAAGGGAACAGCGTGCACAACAGCATTAGACAGTCTTACCCTTCAGTAGCAATCATCCAGTTCCAGGGACCGATGGAGTGAAGCAAGTAGCGCGGCCAGAAGGGAGTCCTTGCCTCATAGCCAGAAGGGAATCCTTGCACCTTCACGCCTGTGAAGGTTCCTCCAGTCTCTTCTATCCAGCCTTACCTACAAGAAATTTCATAGTTGGTCTCAAAGTGACAGCTTTCCTTCTGAGCCCTTTATCTACCGTTATTGACAGCTGCAATAATTTACCCATGGCCACAAAGTCATGTTTTGGTTTTTTTTAAAGTTGGTTAATGCTTACACATTACTTTTATGAGCATTAGTCTTTCTTACAGTAACTCAAAGACGGAATGTACACAACTAGCGTCCTTGGCTGAGATGTTTTCTCTTCAGTTAAGCCAGTGCTCGTTAACCGTGACAGGCTGAAGAGTTTGTCTTTTTCTAGTGTTCACAGTCCTCCTCCTTACAGCTAAAACTTGTTTTTCTGCATAACTCATCTCTGCTCCTTCAGGCTCATCCATGTCTCTCTCCGTGCGCTACCCTGCAAAGGTGGGTTTGGCCGTGAAGGTTTCGTTTCACTTGGCAATTCACCCACATCCATTAGGCTCGTTCTGACTTTGCGTAGCTGTGTTGTCACGCCGCAGCCAGGTGTTCTCACTGGAGCTGCCTGCCTCCGTGTAAGCGCCTAGAATTAGTATTTTAGGATATATCCTAGATCTTTGTGCTACGCTAAGATGAGTCACTCCGCTTCTCTCCCTTGGAGCATACAGGAGAAATTTTCTAAGGCGGCACCAGACTGCAGCACTGACATTTAACTTTGGTTACAGCGCACCCGCGGTGAAGCAGCCTGGGCTACTCGGTATGAAGCTGGCTTCGGCAGCCAGCCCGGGCAGAAGTGACCTGCTGACTGACCTAAATCCCTAGCTGAACAAATGAAGTGCATGGTGGTTAAAAACGTTAGATGCAGTATCTGAGGAGAGGTACAAGCTGACTACAATTCAGGCATACTCTTGACGACAACTAATAGAAGTCAAAGAATCATCTCACGAATGCTGCCCTGAAAAAAGTTTCTCATCTGTCCTTTCATACACCACATTTTCAAGCCAGACTGTTGAGCTGCGAACATTCATGTATGAATGTTGCATTGCCTAACTTGTTCATGATGGACACTTCTCATTCAGGCAGGAGTAAAGACCACAAAAAAGAAGTTCCTTTTTAGGGGCCAGGATTCTTTTCAGCCTCTTTAAATAATGATCCTAATTCAGGTAGGATTCATCTCATTTTTAAGCATATTGTATTCAGGCTTTTTACAAGATAAAGTAATGTGTCATGATTCTCTAAGCACTTGTTTCCCATTTTTTTCTGGCATTTAGTGAGCGTAACTGTTTCACTGAGGCCAATGCCACTTTCAGTTGTCCTCGGTGGGAGTTACTTACCCAAAAGGACACGTACCAGTCTGCTCTTCTCTCCTGTACACCTCCTCAGTCCGTTCTAATCTGAATCGTATTTAACTCCCTGCTTTTGAACTTTAATTCCTCTTTTTCTTTCACCATATTTGTAATTATTAGAAAGGTGGAAACAAAGTAGTGAATTTCCCAAGGCACTATTACTATTTAACTTCCAAATTAGCATCACCTCCTCCTAAGGACATCCACTTTTTCAAAAAGTCAACAATTTTTATCTTTCTCAGCGGAGCATCAAACTGAATACCAAATTGTAAATACAAGTTTTAAAAGCATTCAGCTTAAATTTATGCTCCTGACATTTTGGAACAGGCCCAAAAGCTGCAGTGCACTATGAAAGTGAACAGTGAACTTAAATCATGCTCTATTTCTTCCCCACTTCCACACGTTCAGTCTAAAGCTACAGATAAAGGGAAAGTAACCAAGAAATAGACTGTACAGATAATTTTAATCAGTATAGCACTAAGACATAATGTGTAAAAATACATAAATGAGACCAATAAAACCAAAAGAAAACTAATGTAATGAACTATATATATATATTTATGTATTTTCTACAGCATGAAAGATCCAAATTGGGGATGCTGTCCCAAATCTTGCTGGTTTTGATCTTGATGAAACTGCCTCAGGTGAAAAGCAAAAATCATTCCATCATACAGCGGTTTTGTTGAAATTACTACCTTCCTCTTTTTTGGAGAGTTACGAGCAGATTCAAAGCAGCAAGTAATAACAGACTGTGACCCCTTCGGTCTATTACTTTGTTTTCTGAAGCAAATTTAAATCTTCCCGGGACAGTGAAATGCCAAATGAGCGTATTTGGCTCAGAGAGCTTACCACCTCTAGCAGGTTATAGGCATACCAGGTAATCAACCTTGATCCGCGTTATTCTGCGTACCAAAGCTTGCGCATCACTCTGAAGGTAGGTGGAACAACGAAGAAAGATCAGCAGCAAAATTACTGTTACAAGAAACAAACTCAAGGTCAAGGAAATAGACATTATTTTCCACCTTAAAAGAAAAAATCAAGTCTTCTAGGAAAAGAAAAGGCACCATCTGCACAACGCTGGCCCTCGGCAACACCCGTCGTGCTGCAGCCAGTGGGAAACCGCACGGCTGGGTATCAAAGTTCAGACCTCACTCTCTACTTCTTTTTGTGCTGTTTGCCCCTTCATTTCTTTTCCCTTTTACAGTCAGGGGGCTGAAGTAGCCCAGCCAATTAAGGAGAACTGGATTCGCCTTATAATCTAAACTTGGAGCAGCTCTGCTTACCTTTTCTCATTTCACTGATGCCATCAGGGTATTTGGAAACACTGAAAACCGAAGAAAAGTGCAATGATGGGGAACAATAATTATGATTACAGACAGTATAAAGTTAACAGACTCTACGGCATGAGGAAAGTATGGGATTTAGTTACTGAAAATAATCAAAGACTTTTATTGTAAATAAATCCAAGCAGAATGTAGTCAAAATTACAGGAGACTGTAATTTCTATGAAAGCCAGATCATCTTAATTTTCTTGGGGAGAGCAAGGAGAGGAGTAGAGGAGTGATGGGAAGAAAACAGAATAGAGTTCTGAAATATCTTGGACTGCCCATATCGAAAGTAAAAATACAGGTCTAAGGAACAACGGGAAGAAAGTGCATAATGCAACACTTTGGTCTGCCATCCTGACAAATTCAGAATATATGCACTGAAGAAAGCTGGGAAAATGGCCCAAATGTTTTGATATATTTAACCTGCTTAAAAACATGCAATTAGACTTCATATTCATGGTATTTGTTTCCAACTATCACACACAGAAAATAAAAAAAAAAAAAAAAAAGAAAATGAACAGGGAACAGCTTTCCATGGATGAGACTTCCATATTTATTGTTATTCCATGTGCATAGAAAATGGCAGTGAAGTTTCTTATGAAATAGGCAGGGAATGGGAGAGGTGTAGATATACTGGACTGGACTTTGTGCTTCAAAATTACACTATTCATTTTTAAAAGTTTTTTTTTTTCTTTTAAAATTTATAACATTTCCTTGGATTTTTTTTTTGTGCATGATGTTTCAAATTCCTTTTAAAATGACACACTGCATTACAAATGGATGGCACTTTAAACCAATGTGGCATTTCCATATTTACACCAACGAAAGAAATTTACAAGACGTAATAGCATACAATCTTGACATTTAGTAATAGCAATAAAACAAGGGCATCCATTGTATTTTTTCTGTACAAACTATCAGAACAAGACTTTTATTCACATAAAAAAAAAATCAGCTTTAATTTGCTCTGACTTACACACTTTCCAAATTAATTTTACTCAATTCTCAAACCTTTCATCACATCGCCCACACCCTCACCAGACTACAGGAGCTACAAGTAATTATACCTAACATCTAAACAGAGCAAAAAAACCATCTCTTCCAGTTTTTCTTCCTGACAATTCCTTACTCCCCCCAAAAAAATAAAAAAATCTAAAAGCAAAAAAAGTCTTCCTTGTTCCTTCTTTTATTTCACTTTCACATTTCATAACCAAAACAACGAACGAGGCCATTCCATTTCTTCTCAAGCAAGATGAGAAATACACTGTTGTTTTTTCTCTTGGATGCTACACCCAGGAATCAGGTGAACCTGGGTACTGTTCCGCTCTATAAGAAGATCGTCTGGTGGAATAAAAGTCTACGTAATTTGTGGTTGATTTCAGTCCATATTGTGTCGTGTAATCTGAAGTAGCAGGAAAGTGAACTCGATCATCGAAATACGGGTCTTCGTAGCTATGTGGGGACTGCAAGTATAATCTGTATGCATCATAGTTTTTTCTGTTGGTATCTTCTGGACTGTAGTACAATTGCTGATGCTGTTGACAAATTGATAGAAAAATAATAATTGACAGAGAAAATACTTGTTTCTCAAACTTACGCACATTATACAGAACTTTTCCCTAAAAAGTTAAGTGCAGCTCTACCAATGATGATAGTAACATGGGTTTCAGACCTCCAGGAAACGTACCTAATTTTCAAATGAAACTAAATGGAGGAAAAAATCTCTAAGCCTGCCTGCATGTCTCCTCCTGCATTCACTGAGAAGCTAGTTAACTCTCCAAAAGTGGTACTTTTAGAGCATAAGTAGAAAGTACAGAACCTGACCATACCTACCAAAAAATAAAAAAAAAGTCAGAAAAGTCGTCTCAGATCCCACCATAAGAACACGTTAAAATATGTGACTAAAAAAGGAAACACAAAGGTAACAGAAACTGACAATTGCTTATGTGCTTAAGTACACTAATGCCCACACTTTATGAAAAAAAGCACTCTAATATTATGACATATACTCAAACTCCCTTAAGTTCCATTAAACACTATATGCTGAGTCTTGTTATCAGTCTCATTTCAAAATAAAATTTTGGAGTCACCTGTAGTCGTCTATTTTGTTCTCTTGCTGGTGAGGAATAGGAACTGATGTAAACTGGTGAAGGTTTGCTGGAACCTGTAAGAAAAGAGTTTATGGCATAAACTGCAGTCTTTATTCTTTCGGCTGTAAGTCTATTTGCTTCAATTTTACCTAGAAGAAATTATGTCGCACCCAAACAATTAAGTCTGCAGATTTTAGTATCTACTACTAATATAACAACACAATACAGGCAAATTTTGTCCCTCAGCAGTACTTAAATTGAAACCAAGAGGCTTTCTTTGTGTTGTTGATTTTTGGTTTACAGACTAATAACCGCTAAAACAAGGAATTTCCTTCTCTTTTTTCACTGTCATCTCTATTGATTTGCGACTTGCGTCAAATAGCAAGGAAAAGGGTGATCAGGGAAAAGATGAAATCTTGGTATAATTTAATAATATAACAGTATTATATTATTATAATATATAATGACACGTTATTATTTATAACATAATACATAATGATAATGTGCATAATAAAACAATTTTCTGTAATAGGATTTTAAATAAGAATAAAGATTCCAAACACCTCTCACCTCCCAATATAGAAACAGATCTTCTCTTATTTTGGTAATGTGTGCAATTTTAAAGAAAATAGCAGAGACAGATTAAAAACCTGCTCTGTTCCACATGCAGTGAATATAATGAATAAAAACGGAAAACAACATTAAGTAGTAAAAAGCCTGCTAATGCAACTGTCTGTATGATGATTGTATAAACTCCTCATCTAAGGAATATTTACGTATTCCAGTTAAAAGTTCACCTAACTGGTATCTTACCAGTATATATGTCTTTATGTGTAATGACATCGCCTTGGTTATTATAATACTGCATAGAAGGTTGCATTCTATCGTAGTCAGAGCGAGGTTCTCTAATTCCTAATAAAGCCGGTGATGAGGACGTGCTGCCAACTGATGAAAAAAGAAAGATTATCGGTATATACAACAAAAGCCTTTGCCATACCTAACCCTCTCTTCATTCTCTCCTTACCCCTTCCTTCCTTGAGGATTAACAAATGAGAGAGATGTGGGTAACAGACAAAACTAGTACAGAGTTTTTCCTGGATGAAGAACCCCAATGACAAAAGCTATCAACGACACACCACGAGATTATAATTTTATACTTGAATGGTGAGTCACTGCTCTAGAATGCTTACAGGCTGAAACAAGAGACCGTACCCATTTCAGCTGGCATATGATATAATTTATTTGCATTTAGAAGATGATACTCCTGCTTATGTTTATGATTTTATGTAAGTTACACTTAAATAAAATCTTTAAGTCCATCCTATCACGCGGGACAGGACAGAAAAATTTACAGTCTGCCTGACTGAAGTGATCCAAGTACACACTTGTACACTACTGTTCTTTGATTAGCATGCGGAAGCGCATCTTGGACATTTTGTGCTCCAGCTGGCTGACAACCCTTCTAAGATCATAACAATGGATTACTTTATATTCTTACAGCAAACAGCTGAATCTCTACTGCAGTTGTAAAAAGTTTGTTCTGTTAAACCTTCCCTGTTTTAAAGACCACTCAGGTTTTCTTGGCTTAGAAAGACTCCAGTAACACAGGAGAAAAATACTTAAAAATAATGTATAGAAATTTTGCTTCAAAATATGAAGCAATGATATCTTCTTCCATTAGTTGTGTCCATTACATCATATCCCACAATTTTGTGTAATTATGGATAGTTTAATTACTGATATTATCCTGGCATATGCCTGGCTAAAAAAAGCTAAATTTGGGGGTGTCATTAAAATCCTGACACGGGTCAAGATAATGTGTGTGTTAATAACCGAGTGACTGAAACAAGAACAACTGTTACAGGCCAAGCGTAACTGTTCTACCACGCATCTACTGTGCATGCTGTAATCAGCAGAGCTGCTACCACAGTACCCTCTGTGAACACGGTCCTTGCACAAACTTCTACCTTACTAGTTTAAGCTTCTTCATGCTCTGGAACAGAAAAGCAGACACTTCCCATTAGGATTTTTTACTAAATGTCCTTTGGAGTACAACAGCCTTGGAATATAATGCTAGAGCTGTCCATCTCACTTCCTACTTGTAGTTCAAAGAACTGGAGTAACACAGGTGTTCTGCCAGCGTATCTTGGGAGAGAAAGTGCCGAGATAAGAATTTGACAGCAGGTATTGGAATATCCTTTTACATTTTGGCAGAACCTGGTCAGTTCCTTGAGTCTAAGCTGTATTTGCTTCCTTGTCATTGCTCATTTTGAGAAGATAGTTTTGGCTCTGGCAGTAGATACATAGCTTAAACAGTCTGTGAATTCAAGGTAGTGGTTTGATGCCAGTATGTGCAACTTGGCAACTAGGTGTAAAAGTAAAAACTGCCTTCAGTATCATGTGGTTTGAGAGTGACAAAGATACTTGGTCAGGACATTCTTCTGGAATCCCAAAAGGCTGGGAGAAAACTGAATGTGCAACACAGTAAGATCAGAGTAACAAAATCCTCGAGAAGTGGTAACCGCAGTCTGTTGTAGTATGGCACTAGACAAAGGAGTCAGTTCTGTATGTTCAACTGTGGTGGCTGAGAGGAACTCTGGGCACAAGAGACGCTTTCTTTCCCTTCTTAAGGCACCATAGGTATACTTCTCATAGGAAAATAAATCCCTGGTTGAGTCCTTGTTTTTCAAGTCAGCTATGTCTTGAAGGAACGTGTGAGGGTTGTTACTTTTATGTAAAGAAGTAATTCAGCAAGAGTACTGTTGGAACTTGTCACGTGTTTTAGCAGTCATGGTAGATAAGGTATTTCTCAGTATTAACAGAGATGTATTCACATAAAAATAGAAGAGTAAATTGGATAAAATAAAATGCCAAATGAAGACAATATACAAGGCTTCAAGTAGGTTTTGTATCAGCCCTAGCACTGAAGATGGTAAACGAACAAAGGTGAGAAATAAATAAGGGAGTCAGAGAAGCAAGATTTTTGTATTTGTCTTGCTCATCCTAATGGGACATTACATAACTTGGAATGAAAATAGGTTCCTCACTATTGGTCTCTTGCTTTCTACGCTATCAAGTGCCCCTGTTCTGTGACGCTATACCTACAATGCCAAGTCACATAGCACAGGAGGAGAGGCTTTGTAGAGAGAATAGTTGGTAACAAAGTCCAGGTGTGTACTCTGAGGATTTTACTTAGCACCAAAGCTAAGCTGGTCCCATGAACTGAATGCCCATTACCCGCTGGAGTATATTCGTGGCCTGGAGGCACGCCATCTGATTTAGTTTCATCCTAAAGGAATACAATACACACATTCTGAGACTGCAGTTTGATTTGCATTATGGAGTACGTAGGGAGATTTGCTTCAAGGTGCTCCTTATCCAAACTAAAATGCTAATGCAGACACATCCACAAATCCTGTGGGATCTGAAGCCCGCCAACAATAACAGCTAAGGTAATGAGGGTACATGAAGTACTTATGTTTAAATCAGAGGAGAGACAGCATGACCTCCGTGTTTTAGATAGAATTACTAGTAAAGTGAGAGGCTATTTGAGTTAAAAAAATAGGACACCAGGTACCCCTTCAGTAAGTCTCTTTATGTTTCTTCACTGACCTGACTGTATGACAGGTGACATCTGTTGATTTGTTGTTGGTAAAGAAGGATGTGATTTGAATCTCTCTCGCTCTAGTGTCGATACTGGTGTAATAAAATGACTTTGATTCCATCCATCCTGTGGAGTGGTAAAAAGAAAAAAAACATCAAAATAAATCGCTTTTCATTAAATTAGGAGGTTTTGTAGAACTATTTTCCAGTGTAGGCTAATTTTGCAGTTTACCTTTTTATAAATGCTACGGAGATCTCGGTATTGCCATAATGTATTCAGTACCTGGGCGGCTGCCTTGACAACTTTCAGTGATGATCTAAGGAAGTAAAGAAGCTTACATTATTAGAAAGCCACTTAATTCCACTTAGAAAGAACAATGTTCCTGAGCTACATAATAGCCTAAACCTTGATGCTGTGAAGCAAGTCAGGTCATCTCTCCAGGTCTCAATAATGCACGCCTGCGTTACCACAGTGTGAACACAGCTGTGTCAGCAGCCTCACCAAAAGGCTGGTGCAGAACCTGATTAAGCATGACAATCATTTCCCTCTCCAGCCTAGAAATTTTCTCTTCAGGACATCCACGTGAGAAATACAGATGGAAGGGCTGAAATAGCTACTGTCATGGTCTGCAAGAATTAAAAATCATGAAAAGAAACATTCTATTTAGTGCATTTCATAAAAACTGAGACTACATACTTTAAATCATTGTACAAGATTCCTAACTGTAGAAAAAGAATAAACAAGTAAAAGAGAGCGGGTTTCAAAAGTCTCCAGACATCCTCATAGTCACACCTTGTTCTCAGTTCTGTGTTGCCCTACTGAAAACTTTTATTGGTTGGGAAAACACTTTTCCACTCTCCAGAGCAAGGCTAGGAAATTGCTCTAGTTATTATTAAAAATAAAATCATGCCATCTTTTTCAAGAGAAATGGTAGTAAGCTGGTAGTGGTACTGAAGTAGTGATTTGACATTAAATGCCACAGCATGACATCTGTGTTCAACATATGCCTTTTTCTATCACTGTGAAGATTCATCCAAATACAGTTTTTGAAAGAAAAGACTGAAAAAAAAATTGCAGTTGATAAGTGTTAATCAATGAGTAGGCAATCTTAATACGTTTGTAAGATTTTAAATTTGTTTAGTGTACCCTGTTGCCTCATAAACATAAGAACTTTACATGTCATCTCCACAGACCAGTGAAGTCATATAAAGGACCACTGCATTCACACCTGCAGTTGAAATGAGTCCCTTGAGTATGTCCCTTTAACATACAAAGTATTATAAATCGTTGGATACTGAAAATATATCCCAGTTCCTTTTGAGACAGACTTTGTTAAAAATGTGGTATGTTTAATTCACACTGACCAACTTCTCTAAGAAGAGACCCTTTCCTCTCCTTTACCATCTGAGCACCCACTGGGAACAGTGCACAGGGCTGGCTATATGATCAGCTTTCGGCTATCCATAGAAAGGAGATCTGCCACAGCCAGGTTTATACCACAGTCCTGCTAATATGATCTCCATCAGTCACGCTGCTAAGGCGTACGGAGCAGCGACGCTGATCCATGCCCGACAGGGTCCCTGGGGCTGACTTAGTGTTGACCCTGTGCGACTCAGGGGCCATTACATGTTCCTGTTCCTTGATGCTCCACTGTCCAGTTCTGAACGCTTTGATTACCACTCAATAAACACAATGCCCGGTCAGCCCAGTCCTGAACTTGGCTAACAAAGCCCCTAGCATAGGGGTTGGCACAGCCATACCCCCAGAAGTCTGCAGACAGCCAGGTCTTCTCAATCAATACCTGCCTTGCAGTCCTATTCCAGAAAATCCCACTGGCTAGGTAAACTGCTTGCCAGGCCAAGTTTTCCTTACAACCCACCAAATGGTCATGCTAGATATAATTAAGAGGTATCACGATATACCCTGACAAAGGTGCTAACATATTCTGACCTTGAAAAGCTCTAAATATTCTATTAATCTTGTAGATGTTTAAGAGGGGACAATTCTTTTTTAATACCATTTAACCCGAATAGGCCCCGTTACTGTGATCATTGCATGCAACTGTAAAAGCCTCCAAAAGCTTTAGACGGAGAACATGCTGCCAGAGAATGGTGGTACCGACTGCCTCTTCTTTCCCAGCGCAAGTCAGACTTTGTTAGCTACTCAGATCAGGACTGCAAAAGCACATACTTTTTTTTTTCCCCCCACTAAAAAAAAATTAATTCCATATTCTGAAGCATTTTAAATGGAAATAGAAACAGTTTAGGTATGAACTTTGTTGCCTACTTGCCTGTCACCTCTTCCTTTCGTTATATTCACCAGCTTTTCTATTCCTCCAGTATCAGCGAGGGCTTTGGCATTTTCCATGTTTTTACTAGTGACCTCATGCAAAGCACAGCAGATTGCGGCTACAGTCTCATCAGACAATATGCTTGGACCATTGCCTCCTGGAAGTCGATTAACCAGATCTCGCATAGCATATTTACCTATAAAACCCATCAACAGAACCAAGTAAAGAAAAAAAAAAAACAAAACCAAAACACAAACCAAAAAAACCACAAACATTTGGGTACTTAAGAATTGAAATTATAGGACTCATCACAAAACTGCATCTGAAAGCAGTAAAAGGAAACACAGTATCAAAACCATGGAAACCTTCCAAGAATTCTTATTTTACACAGAGTCAAGACAGACTAGAGATAGATAATTTTCAAAATTTTTTATACCCTTTCAGCTTCAAAACGTGAGAAGTTGAATTCTGCGTTAAAAGAGGAGCATCCGTAAATGGGAATTATTTGGAGAAGGCGCAATCATTCAAGGAAAAAGGTTATGCTCTTTATTATGATTGAAGGAGTGGTGTACATTCCTAGACTTCATTTATGGGAGGGTTAAAGAAATCCTTACAGTAACTTGGAATTTTTTCTTTCAGGCATTCTGTTCACCTTATTTGTTACTCCTAAGAGATCAGACCTCAGCTCTTTCAGATTTCAATTACTGACTGATGCACAGGAATAATCACACTGCAGACAAAGGAAATGAACTAAAGCTAAGGTAACTTTTTTTTTCTTTCCTGTTTAGGCTGTGCTGTTAATGAATGATTAATTGACTTTATTGAAGACAAGTATTTGTACATAACAGTGAATAATGAATAAGCTTTACCCAAAGCCATTAACTATCTATTTGCATAATGTGTCTGAGGGGGGAAAAAAATATCCAAAAAGGAGTTCTGCAAACAAAAGGAACAACTTTTCAAACACACTGGAACATTATCACCAACAATGCTGTATACAGTAGTACCCTGTCACTGCCAGTCTTTTATCAAGCTCATCAACACACATTTGCATATACCAGTTTTGTACTGTTGTTTGTTGGAGTCCCCAGTCTCTTATTTCGTTCAGACTTTAGACCATGTAAACCCATTATTCCTGCCCCTACCAATGGCAGTAAAGCTGCATAAAACAGATTACTAGCATGAGGTAATTTATGACTCACTTCATGTCTCAAAATATTTTATACAAAGATTAGTTTCAGAGCATATCTGGAAAGTAATTCTTTCATAGTTAAGGCTTCAACCGGGAGAGGGAAAGGGTGGAGGTGCATTCCCGAACTGAAAAGTTCTGCCACGAAGGGAAAAAAAAAAAATCCTGAAGAGAGAATATCACCTGAGTATGACCTGTATGTGGCTGCTGCTATAGAACAGAATTTTCTTTTTACTAATTTCTTATGTATGTAATACCTACACTGCAAGAAAACATGTTCTGAACATCCAAGATGGAGAAGCTTCAGAAGTATATAATAAAATTCTGTTCACCTGCATTTATCTTTTAAGAATAATGATACTCTTGTCTGTATAAATAGTTGTTATATACTTATCCCATTGGTCTACAACACAGAAAAAAAAGAAGCTTTTTTACATCACGACATGTGTTAGCAGGGTTCACTTAGGCCACAGCAGTCTGAAGCTGAGGGTGAGGCATGTTCAATGCTTGCCATAATAGACTGAGATACCTGATCAAGGCAGGAAAAATGTTGTTTGGGGTTTTTTTTACCTGCTAGGTAAGAAAGGCACAGATGAATACTTAAAGTATTAAATATTAAAATTGATGAAAGGGAAACAGTAAGTTTTTCTAGTAAGCACCCTTGTTGATGACTTAATTCAGCAAAGACGTGTATATACTGCTCTATATCTGGGTTTTCGTGTAAATATTTTTCTAGGAGAGGGTTTCTTCCCTCTCCCTATCCAATACTATTGAAGTATTTACTGATGTACTGGCAGCAGAGCTGTCCTATCCTCTTAGGATACGTAAGGGGCCTTGAAACCCTCTGAGAAGGGTACCACTTAGCTCCAAGGAAGTAGAGTTGCATTTTCCATCATATTTTGTACTGACAATTTCCCGTCCAGTTTAGTTTAGCTGAGGTGACTTCCATCCGTTGTAAAGAGATTGCCATGCAAGATGGCTAAAGGCAAACTAAAAAGTCAATATTACTCTGAAAAGCTACTGCTGTCTAAAAGATTAATTTCTGTGACACAACTGACATGATATAGTAAAATCAGTATGCTATTTCTGTTGGTAGAATCTCATCCTACTATTTTTCCAGTACAAAGTCTGACATATCGGTAAATTGTGCTTTCTTCAGTACAGCTCTGTACTTACCAATAAGCTCCTTGTTACGAACATCTAATGCCATATTCCTTAAGGCAGTTGCCACAGATGAAACAACTCTATCATTATCCATTCTCAGCAGCTCCACAAGGATTGGTAGTCCTTTTTCTTTTCTTACAGCAGCTCGAATGTATGCTGCAAACTATGATAAAACTCCAAGTTACTCACAAATCTACTACGACATTCTGACTGAAATAGTCTCTTACTAGACTGCAATTCTGAAGTATGTTAGGGGATGTTTTCCAAAGAAAATTTCAAGGCCAGTTTCCATATTGCTCTTCCTGTGTACATCTTTGTCATTGCTTTTCACTGTGGAAATAACATTACTGCAACACACAAGTACTAATGATACACAGTAGAGAGAAATGCTCAGATGCACACTAGGAAATTACATGTTCCTTCCAAACGCATTGCAATCATTTAAAAAAAAACAGCTAAAATACAACAATATGAAGAAAAGTAGGAATTCACATACCTTCCAGTTGCCTGCAGACAGATTCTGGAGAGATCCTGCAGAGCCCTCTAAAGTAGCTGGATTGGAGCTTTCCGCTAGAAGCGTTAGGTATGGCTTTACCACAGATGGGTGCCATAGCATTTCCACCCCTTTAGGAGACTTGGAAAATCCTGGTATAGGGCCAACTCCATCCCACTGAAAAAACGGAACATGTATTTGTAACTAGATGAAACCGCATTATTTTCATTCAACATATGATAGTTTTTCTTCAAGTTATGTACTCCACCCATCACCAGCTAAACTGCAGTTGATGTATTTGTAATACAAGGAATATAGCAAACCTGATCCTCCTGTGAAGTTTTTTTTTTCTTCTTCTTTTTTTTCCCCCAGCAACTTGGCTCTGAATCTTTGCTAGGTGATTCTTTCCCCAAGAAGTCATCCAATTCATTGATTCCTAGCAGACGTGCCTGAGGTACCTCCAGTTCTAAGCGGTAAGAAAGGTTTCTCAAGGTACACACACAATTTTCCACTGTCTGAAGCCAAACCAGAAAGATGTCATGTAATTAGTTACTTTCTTACATAGTGATAAAGCAACCCAAACAAATGAAGTAGAGGTGAAAAGGCATTTGGAGCACAAGCACTGAATTCTAATTCTGGGCCTTGGGCGCTGCTTTGTCTGTGGGAAAACTGCAATCTCTCTCCTGATATTTTCAAATATGAAAATATTTATAACAGTAATCTCTACTACAGTGGCTTATTTTTTAGTATTCCGAAAATGAAAAGCACAAGAGATTATTATTATTTTATTAAAGAATGAATACTTCAACACTGATGAAAATGAAAAGCACAGAACAAGTTACACTGTGTTATGCAACAGAATTTGATTGTGCATCAGTAAACTGGGGTTGGGAGAGAAGACCAGTTGAGCTAGGCACATCACAGTGCTAAATTATACTATACAAACCTCAAAAGAGCCTATCAGACATACAGTTTAGCACTAAAAGTCACTTAGATGAAACATGCACACACCTTGCTGTCATAATCTGATGTGTTCACACACGTGTGGATCACGTATAGCAGTGAATCAACCAGCCCTTCACAAGACCTCATCTGCTTCCGGGCTTCTTCACCTGCGGAGCTGAGATTCCTAAAAGGTTGAAATGATAAAGGAACACAGTGTATTCACAGCTAGACATACGTACCATCATTTTATTAGATAGTTTGCAGAAGTTTTTCATACAGCTGACAGATTAATTGAGAAGTTAAAAGCAAACACACCCTTTTGTGCAGCAACCCACCCCCAATTCTTATAAAAGATAACTGTGATTCAAAACTGCAATTTGAATTGACTCATTGACAAACCCGGGCATAAGTAGAACCCCTTTCCACAGACTTTTCCATTCCAAGCCCTCTCTGTTGTACAAGCCCAAATCTATGGTTTGTATGGGCTGTAGAACAGATTGCTGAGCTTGCCTGTGTTAGAAATCTCCTTTGTTGCCTCTTTTTTAAATTGGACCCATTCAGCAATCTGTCCTGCGGTGCAGACTCATTACCGCTTGTAATAGTGCTACACAGACAGAAGTATAAACGTATAAATTAGGGTGCAGGGAAAGGCAAAGGCCGCACTGTGCTTTAGAATAAGCAGCAATGGATGTAGACAAATATTTGCCTTCCAGGCCACCACACTGCAAAACTTGAAACTTACACTGTGACCGGATGCACACTGGAAATGGCACTGCTGCTAAAAAAATGCCACCATGCCTGTCCAAAGAGGTGCTTTTTCTCTAGACATCATGTTTGCACTATGATGCTAGCACAACCCTGCGTTCAAAAGCAGTGTAAAACTCATCATCTCAAAACATAACCCAATGAACAACAACAATACAGTAGTTTATGAAAATATTCTGAGGGTTAGAAGGATCACCAGAAAATAAAAAGCAATTCCTGTTCCGTTTAAACACAATGGCCTTACTGTGCTGTTTAATGGAACACAATTTGAAATCGAATAAATTAAAATTATGAACAAACCTACAAATGAACAGAAGTAGCTCATATACTACCCTTCGCCCTTGAACTCCCTTTTCAGATATTTTAGTTTTGCCTTTTATTATTCTGAATACTTTTTTTCCTCCTTACTGCTGTTTGAGAAATCCACAAAGGGAATAGTCAAACACTTCTTTCCTGATATGTATGCGTATACAAACGTAATTATTTAAATGTATATAGCAATAATAAATCACCAACTGCACAATTTTTTTCCTAAATAATACCCATAAGCCCTACACACAATGCAAAAATTGCAGTAATTAATGGGGAAAAGTGTAATGATCGTAATTTATAAAAAAACAACCAAAATTTAACAACTATCATCTCTTAGTGTCTATGTCCTTTTCATATTTTTCTAGTATGAAAAAAAAAACCCAAATGCAAAAGCTGCCTAAATGATCGAACTACATGTAATCTACAGAATGCAATAACCCTTTTGTCTTAAAGATTACAGTATAAAAAGGACCTGTTGGATAACATTACTACTCTGTAAAAGGGAGTCTTCTAGAACAGCAAATTACCTCAGGCATCCTGTAGTATTGCGTAGAACTAGAGAAGTCTGAAATTTAATTTTATGATCATCGTCAAAGGAAGAACTGTTCCATCCAGAATGTGGCACTATCACAGTGTTTGTCAGTGTTGACAGAGCATCTCTAATGATTGTCATCTTTACTGCATCGCATGAAGACAAGTTCCAGAGAACCCCTTAAGAAAAGATTTCCATTGCAGTGAAGTCAGAAAAGGCTTGGCAGACAGATATAAAGCAACATTAACAACTTAAAAGACATCACTTTAAACAGGCGAAAGATAATTTACCTATGCAAAACCAAAAGAAATGCAATTAGTCTGCAATTGTAACTTTCATATTATCCTAACATTATCAGTCAGTAAGTGGTCAACAAAGCTGCCATTAAAAGATTCACTTTACAGACTGAAATAAATATTTCTAAACTTCAGATGACAATGTATTCAGCAGCCTTCGCTCTATCTGTCTTGCTGTTGCGTAAGCTCTTTGAGGAAAGAGTTGGAACGCAAGATGATAATCAGAATAACCCTAAGAGATCAGCAGCTAGGTCTCCCACAATACTGAGAAGGAAAACATGCACCCTGGTGAGTAAATACCCTTCTCTTTTCTTAAGGAAAAATACTCAGCAGAAACACACACTGACGGACAGGAGATGTGTCCTTCTCTCTTTCCTGAGGTACAGCTCATTCCGCCACCTGACAGGAGAGGGCAAGTCCCCACTGCACTACAGGAGTTTACAGGAATATTCCCTACAAGCACACAAACTCATCTCATTTGCAAAACACCTTTCCGTCTTTCTGAAACCTATGTGCCTCGAGCTCACTCTCTCTCTCTAATGCTAAGATCTTTCTTAGATATCTAAAGATCAATCTCATACTGACTACCTGTTAGGGGAAGAAAAAAACCTCTCTGTTTTTTTGGTAGTATGCCAGGCAACATGCCAAATCAGTGTAAAGAGGTCACTAATGGATGTGCCAAATTAATTCAGCACAAAATTTTATCTTAAAAATAAAAAAATGAAAGTCATTTAGTCATTTACTATTAACTAGAGTTTTACTGATGTCTGTCATCTATACGCACGTTTGTAGGTGTGCACGCACAGTCACTGCAGCTGGAATGGAGTGGGGTGCCAGTGACACTGCTTCCCGAGTGTGCCCAGCAGGAACGGCACCCTATGCTACCAGCTGGTTCCTCTCCCAGAGGAAACTTCCAGTGTAGAAGGAAAGGGGTGAATATTTACAGGAACAGAAAAAATATCTCCAAAGAAAGCAGCTGCGGGTAACCTCCTTCCAGTAGCGGTTCATATGGACATTACAACTACCAGCAGTAAGCTCCCGACTTACAGGGGTTACGTGGAGGCGGTCACTACAACTGTCACTGCTCTGTTAAAGAGAAACGTGTCACGCGTTGTTCTCCAGACAATAGTACAGCCTTCAGTGCAAGGGCAGCTAAAACCAGGCAGCTCAATCTCACAAATAAAAATGCTCCTTACAGATGCCATTGAAACCGCATGCCCTCTGAGAGTAACCTGATCCCTAGTGGCATTTTCACTTGTTGCCTCATCAGTTCTAGCCAGGCAGCAGTCTGAGATGAGAAGGCACATTTATCAGAAGAGATAAGGCACTCTTCCGAACTCTTCATCCTATTCAAAAAAAGGCATGAACATCTGACCTCCAAAGGGTGAATCTTCAACAACCCTGTAAGAAAGAGGTTTGGGAGAGGGAAGAAACAGATCATTATCCTGATTTATATGAAACTTGGGAGATTAAAGTTATAAACTACTTCTTAAAAAGGAACATGGAAGAGATTCGGCAATATTCTTAAGACAGATTGTTTACACTGGAAACCTCTACAACTTTGCAGGCAGAAATTAACAGCTAAAAGAAAGGTCATAAGAATACAAGAGCAAAAATGAAGAGAGAAGAAACCAAATTTATGGATGTCATGGCTGAAAGATCACCAGTATTTTGCAAATGTGAGGTCTTGTGAAAAAATTTCTGAAAAAATGACAAAGAAGGTAGATTGACAGATGCGTGGCAGCCACTATAGAGTTTTCAGTAAAGGTCCCAAGTGTGTGACGTGACATGATTCTAGATCAGGCAGAACCTGGAAAGTCAGTAGCCAAAAAGGAGGAATGCAAGATGAACAATGGGGCGGGGATATGGTTTTGTTTTTATTCTGTTTTTCCTCAGTGATAAACATGGGAAGAATAGCCTGCACTGATATTACTACTTTCTTGCATTCCATGTCTGGGATATTCAAGTGCAGAGCTGAACATACAAGAGCTAATGAAAAAATCCTACAGAAACTTTCTTCCTGGAACCCATAACAAGAAGTCTAGAGTATTTTACATTCACCTATTAGCCAAATGAAACTGCTATCAATATTTTATCCTCAGGCAGAATTCTAAAATTCCCTACCCTGCAGAGCCTTCTTACATGACATTCAGATAGAAAAGTATGAGATCTGACATAAATTATCAGCAGAACTCTATATGCAAGTGATATGCTAAACACAGCATTTAATCATCTTTTTCATCATGAAACACAGCTTAAAGTTCATCTAAATTCTCACCAAGTACTCGTCTTACTCTAAGTATTTTCCTCATATGCAATACTTTACTGATGGTAAAGTAGTATAGCTCTGTACACTCAGCAAAAAAACATTAAACAGCATTTCCACAATAGCCCAACAGAATTGCTCCTATAAACCATACGGTTTTCAGTTTGACTAGATCTGGAACATTTAGTTTCTTCAGAAATAAATTATGGGGGGACAAGACAGTAAATGTTACAAGTGTTAACAAAACCAAGTTTATAAGACAGCAAAAGTTTTTAACACAGCCACACCAAAATAAGAAAGAAAAATCTTTGCATGAAATATCCTGTCTTTTTCTGTTCAGTAAAACAATTACGGGGGGCGCTCCATGGGGAGATTTATGACTGTCTTGATTTCTAGTTAGGACACAGGCAGCCAAAGTACTTAATGTGTCATACAGTGGTTCCCAGAGATTCTAATCTCTGTGGTTTAGCTGACACACAAAGATAACTTCAATGTTTGGACGAAGATTAGGGTTGCTAACTTGGCTGTCCTTGTCTAATGCAACTTCCTTCAGCAGGTCACCTACCTAGGAAACAGACTTTTTGGCAATTGGGTGAAGATTGTACAATGAATTCTCAGAAGAGCTAAAACACCCTCGCAAAGCTTTCTGCTGCCTTTCTCTAAATCCAAGGCATATTTATTTGTCTGCCGTTGTGTCAGTGGAACGCAGAACGAGCCCAAGCTTTGAGATGGGATTGTTGATCACCTCCTTAAGCTGACTTCCCCAAAGGTAGCTAAAAAACTTTTAAACTCAAAAGTCTCATTTTATTGGAATCTAAACTAGGATATCTATCTTTTTAAATGCAAAGAAACCACATAATGATGGTGTTAGCAATAGTTTACAGACAATTCTCCTCGCTGCATCATTGCTGAAGAATCCAGGTCTGGTTTCACTCAAGCAAATGGCTTTTGAGCTATGGAACCTGTTACAAGTGGGACAGGTACAAGGACAACTTTCAAATTTGCCATATCCTTGTAATTATGGCATTATTGTGTCCAACTGTCTACCCAATGCCACCATGCCCACTAAACCATGCCTCAAAGATATTAGCTGGATGACAGCTGGAGAGCAGCCCTGCAGGAAGGGATCTGGGGGTGCGGGTTGACAGGAGGCTCAAGGGGAGCCAGCAGTGAGCCCTGGCAGCCCTGAGGGCAAACCCCATCCCAGGGTGCGTCAAACCCAGCAAGCATTTCTTTACTGAGAGTGTGGTCAGACCCTGGAACAGGCTTCCTGGAGAGGTGGAGGACACCCCAAGCCTGTCAGTGTTTAAGAAGCATTTGGACAATGCCCTTAGTAAGATGCTTTAACTTCTGGTCAGCTCTGAAGTGGTCAGGCCATCAGACTAGATGATCGTTGTAAGTCTCTTCCAACTGAAATATTTCATTCTGTTTTATCAGGGATGTGCCTGTATGTGGTATACACTTAAGTCATTGATTCCCTATGGGTCTTTCTGTGTTGGAGAAGAGCGGGCTGAGGGGCAACCTCATTGCCCTCTGCAGCTTCTTGAGGAGGGGACATGGAGAGGGAGGTGCTGAGCTGTGCTCCTGGGATCCAGGGACAGGATGCCCGGGAACAGCTCAAAGCTGTGCCAGGGGAGGTTCAGACCAGACATAAGGAAGCATTTCTTTACTGAGAGTGTGGTCAGACCCTGGAACAGGCTTCCTAGAGAGGTGGAGGACACCCCAAGCCTGTCAGTGTTTAAGAAGCATTTGGACAATGCCCTTAGTAAGATGCTTTAACTTTTGGTCGGCTCTGAAGTGGTCAGGCCGTCAGACTAGATGACTGAAATATTTCATTCTGTTTTATCAGGGATGTGCCTGTATGTGGTATACACTTAAGTCATTGATTCCCTGGATGGGGCAATGGACTGACTTGTATTAGTAGAACTCCTAGCCACCTGACAACACAGCTTTTGACTAACTGGTGCAGGTGTTCTCCAGATGGGAAGTTCTGGACTGTCCTGAAGATCTCCAGTCAGCTCCTGCTGTGCCTAGACCATTTTTTGTGTTTTAATGTATTGATTAACAACATGGGTGAAGAATCTGGTTGTTCCAGAGACTGCCCTATGCTGGTCTTATTACAGAGTTGGCTAAATTGTATATACAAAAGATATTTGTAAATAGTCCATAGAAACAGCAACTGCAAAAACAGTGATGTAAGACAGTTTTCTGAATACAAGTAAACTACCTACAAAACTTCTCCTAGCTATCTTACGATGATCAATAGCAATGGATCGTGAATACACTGGAGAGATCTCATAGGACCATGCGACAGTTGGATATAAGAGTTCAGCAGAACAGCAGTTTGGGGAGTCTCAGCTGAGGCAGCTAAAGACACCGTTCCAAGGACTCTTGTCACCATCTGGAAACCACAAACCATTGTGTTCAAGTAATCTGCTTCCCCGGGGGGTGTCACCATATGCCAAGACCCCCACCCAAAAGCCATGTTTTTATTTTTTTAAAAAACACACAGCCCATGAACGTCCATACAGGAAGTGAACGTAGCACGGTGCCGGTGCTGTCTGCTCCTTGTTCCTCTTGGCTGTCCGCTGCGTGAGCAGCTCAGCCTGCTGTGACTCTCACTCCTTCCTCTGCCTGCTACATCTTGCCATCAACA